AGAGAGAGAGAGAGAGAGAGAGAGAGAGAGAGAGAGAGACGAAGAGAGAAAAAGAGAGCAAGCAGAAAGAGAGACAGAGTCATGTCGAGGAGTCGCACGGGGCAGGCCTATCTGGTGGCGGTCATCCTACCCCGTGTCGAGTGACAGGCTGCTTACGTAACGGATTATTCTCGCTATGATAACGACACTCCAGACGCGAACGCGACACGAGAGGAAGCAGCGGATCGTCATCGTCACCGGGAGAACCGTCGCGGCGGCGCAGCGCACGACCCCGACAGAAATACACCACGGCCGACCCGAATCCCGCTATCGCCGCCTCTGATACCCGCGGCTCCAAGAGAGCGTCGCGACGCCCACCTAGTGCGTCCGCCGCGTCCCGGGAAGACCTGGCCCCGAGGTGTACGCGCGTGTATATGTGTGACTGCAAATTATGACAGCGGTGATCGTCATGGAAAACGTTAATTGGGACCCTGGTAAGTGCGAGTGAGCCTGCAACGAGAGGGAGAGGAGAACTTGGCGGTTTGTAAAGTTCGAGGAAGAGAGAAAGAGAGAGAGAGAGAGAAAGAGAGAGCGGCGTCAGGAGTCTTCACGTGTTCTCGGCACGACATGATTCGCTGGCGCGTCAAAATTGAGGGTGGTGGAGTGGTGGTAGTAGTGCTTGAAGAGCGAGTTTTGGGTCTTGATGAGGCCAACAATAGTGATATCGCGACAACAATGATGATAATGATGATGACGAGGATGAGAATGAACTCTTTGTATTGTGAAAAGAGCGAAAAGAGTAATCGAGGCACAGGTTGCGGAGAGAATAAACTCCGATATGACTGGACAGTCCTCGGAGACGCGTATTAATAAAACGCGCGCCGGGCATTGTGCGTTATAAATATAGAGCGCACAAGCCAGAGTAAATAAACGCGACCGCGGGTAACAACGGGGTCTCTCTCGCGATAAAATCGCGGTCGAGGAAACGCGTCGCGCCAGCAGTTGTTCATTAAGCATACCGAGCTGCACCGCACGTTTCCGCGTGCTCCAGTTTGCCGAAAGGAAAGGAGGCCTCGAACGAGAGAGTGCTTTGTGCTCAGAAATTAATTTATCGATCGGCACGCAAAGGTGACGAGAAACCGTCGCACTTAGTCGGGAATAATTGCGGTAGAAACGCGAGGGTTAATTAGTCCAATTTTAGACTTCGGGTTTGGCTCCGTACGATATCACGTTTGCGTTTGGAGTTACGCGACCAGTCGAACTTTGGCTCTAGTATTAGTTAGTAACCTCACACTAACGAAAAAGAAATGAGGACGCGACTGAAACGCAACTTTTGTATTACAGGGGAAGAAACAATATGGTTGGCCCATATATAAATCTGGTTGTGCCAGCCAGATTTAATAGAAAATAGGAAACAACTAATTATGTAGTTGCCGCAACCACAGAGCAATTGCTGAATTACAGTGACGATATTTGGTTGTTCCCATGAATGTTGACCATGATAAATGTAACCGATTCTGGTTGTCACAATCAGATCAGTTGATTGCCGAGATTACATTGGTGTAGTTAATGTACCAAAGTAGCTGGAGTCGTGTCAACCATACATATTACCATCATACAAAGATAATTAAGGCGATGTAGCTATACTGCTCACAACTAAATATTTCTGGTTATGTGAACCATATCTTTTCTTTCTGTATAATATCACAGTGAAAAAGATTTATTTCAATTATCATAGCTCATAACATAGTTGCGTTCAAGTCGAGTTTTGATCTCAATGTAATGCAAATTATTGCTACATTGTTAAATGAAGCTCATGTATACCTGTTTCAGCACTGTCCAAGCTGCTCAACTCGCTGCAAGAGAGCAAGTCGGAGATACCCAGCTGCACCGAGGAGGAATTTGGATTTCTGAGCGAGTTGCTGCAATCGAAGGAGCTGAACGCCTTGGTGAACGTTCACAACAAGATCCTCAACAACGTCAAGGATGACAAGTTCTTTCCCGTACTGTCCAATTCGATGGACATCGACGTCGAGGTCCTTGATTTGCTTTCCACCAAGACACACGTCTCCGCCGAATGCAAGGAACTCTTTCATTTGTTGCAGAAACCGCATATCCAGGTATTAAAGCGGCAACTGAGTAAAGCTAAGCTCTCTACAAAACATGATGAAATGTAAAATGTTCTTATGCAACTGTGTTCTCCAACAATGTCGCATCTTGCAATGACAATTGATATATTGACATTAATTAATTTGCGCTACTAATTTACTGAATAAGAAAATATCGACGCGTTCATTTCCATTCGTGATTTGAGAAATTACCTCTCGAGTGATCTGACATTTTCAACAATACACGTTCTAACTGAATTGTTATTGTCAAAGGGTCTCCTCTGCGCCCACGACGCGGTGGCTCAGAAGGACTACTACCCGAGGCTACCGGACATACCGTTGGAGGTGGACGAGGACGAGGAGACGGTGAAGATCGTGCAGCTGGTGAAGTCGAACGAGCCCCTGGTACGTCAGATCGATCGTAGAGTCGGCATTTGAGGTGTTTTTCTTTGAACGTCATTCACTCGATTAACCCGAGGGAGCGCGAGAGCGAGGGTGCGAGAGAGAGAAAGAGAGAGTCAGAAAGGGGAAGAGAAAGGCAGCTTGTGACCTTGGACGATCGAGTAATTAATCGAGAGCGTGTGTACGCGTGTGTCAATCCGCGTCTCGAGGAAGGCGCGAGGACAAGTCGAAAGACGGGAAATATTCTACTCGAGAAAGAGAGAAAAAGAGAGAGAACAAAAAAACGATTCCGTTTCTCCGCCCGCACACTTCTCTGTACTTGACGCGTCGTTTTGCATGAGACGCGAGGAACCGCTCCCCAGTATCGGCGTAGACAGGCGAGTCACGTACTACAACTTGCGTAGTTTGCGATCTTTTGCCAGTCGAGAGTAGAGTAGCCTCACACGAGAGTACGTGCGAAAGAAAAAGAAACGTGTACGAACAAAAGAGAAATGAAAAAAAAGAACGAACGCTAAAGCACTGTCTCAAGTAATCACGTGTTTCTTTCATCGTCAAACTTGCTTCGAAGGGCGACGCCGGGGTTGAACCGATCGTGGTAAGTCGCCTGAATGCCCGTAGACAACATGTACTGAACCTGTGATAACACCCGACTTTACGTCGTATGAAAAAATCGTCTAGTACCACACACACACACACACATTTTGGCCGCCAGCTACTTGTTGTTTTGCCTCTTTTCATTTCGCCTCATTCCCGCATCACTCCGGAATGAAATCGGTGGAATTCGAGTGGAGTTTGCTCGTTTGTCGCGACGTTCGCCGCGTGAGAGAGAACCGCGGATGAAATCTCACACCGGCGAATCGCGGGAATTTAATAATCGCAGGAATTCGACCGGTTTCACTCTCTGCTTTAGCATAGACCTCTAGCCACCTTCGATCTCGAAATCGTTCGCTACGATCGCAGGACACAGATCACGCGGCGGATCGAGCTGTACATATACGAAGCCTGCTGTTCACCCTCGCCCTTTTTCGCACGGATTTGTTAATCTCGCTGGTTTGCCTCTGTTGCGTCCGCATCTACGTTTCGTTCAGTTGTTTTCTTATGGTTTTGCTTGTAAATAAAATCTGTTGTCACACTATAATCCCCGTATCTGTTGTTATTGTCCCGCATGACCGTGTTTATGAATATCGTAAAGTGTGCAAAACTTGCCTCTCGTGGAGTTCGCTCGAGATATTACTATTTGAAGAGTAGGTGTTTCGCGTTGTAGACTGAAACATTGGTATGAAACATATTTTGTAGAAGCCTCACAGCGACTTAATATTTCTCTCTTCGAGCGCGCGATCGCGCAAACTTAAGTCAGAAGGGCGTCGAGGCGTGAGTTCGCACACTTTGCGGTGGTGTTTCTCGAGAGATGCGGCACGTCCGATACGATTTCGTTCGCGAGCAGAGTCTGGAATGCCTGCTTCTGCTGATCTCGGGAAACGTAGACATCGATAAGGAAGCGTACGACACGAGAGTCCAGAAGAGACCGGACGAATGATCGTTGAATAGGCGTCCAAGAGAAAGAGAGGGTGAGAGAGAGAGAGAGAGAGAGAAAGAGAGATATCGGATCTCTCTTGAAGACGTTTATGATGTGAGTGTCTCACGGACGATCGTGTTGTTTGGAACCGTATCGGCGCGAACGCTCGTCCGAATCATTGCAATCTCGATGATATCCGGCGAGATCGTTCGGGAGGAAACGAGACGAGGGCGCGCGCCGATCGCAACGCGCCGCGCGCGTATCCGCCTTCCCGCGAAAACTCCTGTTTATTTTTCATTTTTTTTTAAGAAGAGAGAAAGAGAAAAAAAGAAGGTGCTTCCTAGAGAGTATGCGTTCGCGCGCGAGATGCAACGCTATGAAAATACTAGTTTACACCTTGACATTAGGGGGCGACCATAAAAACCTGCGAAGTCACTGGCAAGATTGTGATCGCGCGAATAATGCACGGCGGCGCGGCCGACAGGTCCGGTCTCATCCACGTCGGCGACGAGGTCTGCGAGGTCAACGGTATCAGCGTCGAGGGGAGGACGCCCAGCTTCGTCTTGCATATTTTGGTAGGAAAAAGAAACAGGCTGTCCGGCCAGCCTAAACGAGCGTCGAGTTGCTTCAGATTCTCGCTTGGAATTGATATTGTCGAGATAATCGATTTAAATTAACGTACATATAAATTCAAAATAACCATGATCGTTCCTGACAGACCGACCAGTAGAATCAATTAAACCTACGACTAATATTCCATTTTGTTAACGCGATAGCGATATTTGATACAACGCACAGCTCGAATATCCGGATAAACAGATTGATGTTATTGAAGGGCCCTGTGCGTAAATTCGCTTTTTTTCAGCAAAACTCGGAAGGAACGATCACGTTCAAAATAGTGCCCGCGGATAGCAAGAGCGGAGTGAGGGAGAGCAAGGTAGGATCTCGATGTGCTTATATAAGATTAGAGGCTTGCAAAAATTCGTCGAGTCGTCGACGGTTTCATTAGTAGCAAAAAGTGAGTGATTTTTCTGACATGAAATCAGGCAATTACAACCGGAAGGTTGCAGAAATAGGGTGAATAGCGATAATAAATTCTTTGACTGAACATGGCACTTGTAGTTACTATATGAACAGAAGAAATATGGCGGAAAACTCGACAAACTTTTGCAACCCCCGATAAAACTGCAACGGAACGAAACTGCACTAAAGAAACAACTAAATCGTTCAGGTTCGCGTGAGGGCGCACTTTTCGTACGTGGCGTCCGAGGATCCCTACATTCCCTGTAAGGAAGCTGGCTTGGACTTTGTCAAGGGTGACGTCTTGCACATCGTCAGTCAAGACGACGCCTACTGGTGAGACGATTTATCGATTCAAGGGAATCGATTCGAGCGCGTTCGCGACTTGTTACTATCACGACGCTGTATTGAACGCAGGTGGCAAGCTAGACGGGAAGGCGACCGAAACATGAGAGCTGGCTTGATCCCCAGCAGGGCTCTTCAGGAACGCAGGATCCTCCTCGAGAGACAGCAGAAAGAGAAGCCGGACGAAGACAATATAAGTATGTCGGATGGGTTTGTTGTGTTCGCGCGGCGCAACTCGCTTGTCCCGATCTCAGTTTGCAATCGTTCATCAATCATCGAGTCACGTAACATCATCATCGTGTCTTTCATGCTCATAGTGTTCATACTGTTAGCGGCAGTTATCGATTGGTGTTGCACGATGTCTCGTAAGTTGCCAAAGTTACCGAAGTAGAATATACGCTCGGAGCACGTTGAACTTTGGGGAACTTCGTACACGTCGCTTTGAACGCGTCTCGTTTTTCCAAAGTACACAGTTCCGAAGGAGGAAGTTAAGAAGTTAAGCTCTAAGAAGATATAATAAAATCAAATAATAGATGAAATTCGAAAGAACTTTTCGTAGACGTGCGCGAAGAGGTTAACATGCTCCGACGAGGAGAACGCTCAATTCTCTATTGACGTTAACGTGAGCTTGACACTAACATGACGAGTAAGAGGTTGCATAATGAATTACTGTTCGGTAGCGACTATCTCAAATACTTTAGGACGCGTCAATGCTCGATTGTGTGTACGCGCGCGCGCGCGCGGCAGAGCTCGAGGTGGTTAGCCGTTAACTCGGTAAGCTGATCTCGGCTGCGTTTTCTTAACGGATGATGGCCTGACGACCTAACCGTCGGTTAGGCTTGTGTTCTGTTCCAGTGCCTTTGCCCGCATTGTGCCCCCGTCCCAGTACCTCTTTGCACGCCTCGCCCACAAAGTGCAACTTGCAAGGAATTAAAACTAAAAAAATCATGTATGACGCTGCAGAGAACGACGACTTCGACCGGGAAGAGGTACCGACCTACGAAGAGGTCGCGAAACTCTACCCCAGGCCGGGCCTGTACCGGCCGGTGGTTCTCATCGGGCCACCGGGGGTCGGCAGGAACGAGCTCAAGAGGCGGCTCATGGCGACAGACGCCGAGAAGTACAAGACTCCCGTTCCCTGTAAGTCCTGCAGCCAGCGAGAACGCATTCAGTTTGTTAAAGGGATTGTTAATTAATTTGAAAACGTCGAGCTTCTCTCAGTTTAATCGAAGGTTTAATTCACGTGTAATTAACACGAGATCGACACCTGAGTCAAACGCGATTCGACGAATACGAACTGAATGAAAACTAATCGGAGAGAGAATAGTTAAGACAATTACGATAGTTATAAACGAAAAAAAAATTATGTTAGTAAAATTATGGTAGTTCACGAAGCTAAACTTCAGAGACTAGCGTTTTCTTTTCAGATACGTCTAGACCACCGCGACCGGGCGAGATAAACGGCAAGGAGTACCATTTCGTGACACGGGAGAAGATGGAGGAGGAGATCGAAGCTGGCAAGTTTATCGAGTACGGCGAGTACAAGGGCAACCTATACGGCACCAATTCCGAGAGTGTGAGCTCGCTCGTGAACGCCGGATACGTGTGCTTCCTGAATCCTCACTATCAGGCTCTCAAGATGCTGAGGACGTCGCAGTTGAGGCCGTACGTCGTATACGTGAAACCGCCGCGGTTCGAGGTGCTGAAGGAAACCAGGAATGAGGCTAGAGCCAGGTCGACCTTTGACGAGAGCAACTCTCGAGGCTTCACGGTAAAACCCGAATTTCTTATGCCCGGGACTGTCGCTTAGGAAATGAACCTTGACTCGATCCAAAGAGTCTCTCCTTCTCTCGGGGAGTTGGAGAGACACTCCAGCTGAGATTAAACGTTTCTCTCTATCGGCAATTGCAGGACGAAGAGTTCAACGAGATTCTACACAGCGCGGAAAGGATAGAGTTCCTCTATTCTCACCTGTTCGACGAGGTGATAGTAAACGCCGATCTCTCGATGGCGTTCGAGCAGCTGGTCAACGCGATTCACCGAGTGGAGTCCGAGCCACTCTGGGTGCCGGCCTCGTGGGTTCAATAAAACCGGCAGACTTCGTACCCGAAATCGAACAGACGAAGCGCTACGGAGGAACGAAGGGACCGAGAGAGCAAGAGACCGTTTCGTTGCGGGGAGACGCCCGATCGTTCGCCGCGACCTGGCTAGATCGATCGAGCGTTTCTCGCGATCGGACGCACGAGACGACGCTTCAGCACCTTCTGCACTTCCAATAGCACCCGGCAGGTGTCACGCATGCACCTGCTCGTCCAATCCGCCGCATTTCGAGTCGCAGTTCACCAGTTTAGAGAGAAAGAGGGAGAGAAGATAATCGCGCCTTTAAGCCCGTAGCGGTTTCGAACACTCGCGAAACCCGATCCTCCGCTTCGTCTCGGTCGTGAGACGAGCCGTAGACGAATGTGAAGTCTTTTTTTATTGTCGAATACCGCGTCGTTCGTTGTTGGTTTGGTCGTTCGTTCGCGACGGTGCGTCGAGTGGAGCGAACGCGACGCGCGTCTTCTCGACGTCGTAGGTTAATTAATCGAGCGCGAGGGAGTAATCTCGAGGACGAGCTCAGAGCGGCTCCAAGTCGTCCGCGTCACCAGGACGCCCTTGTTTCCCGGATGACTGTCGGACGTCTTGGCGACGCTACGCGTTAGCGCCCTTACTGCCACAAGACGCTTCGCCCAACGACGGGAGGTCTCGCATTGTCGACCATGCGGGAACTCGGCGGTGTGCCGAGTTCTCGAATCGCGTCGCGTCACGACGCGGTATCTCCGCGGACCCAGCCGTGAAATTGTATTCCCGAGACCGCGGAAATCTCGCGCGACTCGGGATCAATGCTCGCGAGACGGCAGACTCGCGTCGAGTTTCACTTCGGGAGCTTCGCCGGAGAGCCGAGAGAGAGACTCGCTTACGCGGACGATCTTTGATCTCGATTGTTGTTAATTGTTGCCAAATCAAGTATCGTACCTTGTAGAACGCGACATCCGGACAGTCGCCTCGTACACATACATACACATAAACACACTCACACACTTACTGTATTTTCCACAGTGATATACACTCCATACGCGTGCATATACACAATCACAAACACGTACACGCAAATACCAAAACGTTGCTATCTTTCTTTTTCCACGACGACGGAAGGAATGCCAACGTGCGAGAACGCAAAAAAACAAGAAGCAGTTCGCACTATCGAGTCGACGTTGCATAATTCATCCTTGGTGTAAACTCTGTATGTTATCGAAAATATAAGCATTAAACTTTCAACGTGTGTACGATCGTGCTTAGCCCACCCCTCCTTCTATGTGTCTCCAATAATGATATAGACAGAGGAATTAACTATAATTAACGTCGGTCAATATTGTCGCAATGCCAATCCTAAGTGTGATATAGCTCGTTTCAGAAAGAGAGGGAGAAGAAGGAAGAATGTTAGGTAAAATATTTTTTTCGTGAAACAGATCTTCCGAGAATTAGAGAAAATAGACGAGGCCTTCGTGCGCGTCCGATGACGGATACTTGACGTCTTTCATATGCTTTCATTTCGCGCGCCGCGTTCCTCTCTGCGTTCATTATTTCCAAGGTCAGTGTCAGGCGAGCGATGGATCGACTCGCTCGACGATTCGCGAAAAGAAAAAGAGGAATCTCAAGCAGATCGAGCGAAAGGCTTTATGTAAAAATAAGTGGCCTAGGCACAGTTGGCGTCGTGAACTTCCGAAACTCCCGATTTGGTCGCGACGCGATTTACAAAGAGCCCGCTTCCTTCCTTCCGCGCCTCTCACGGTTCTTCGTTCGGCAAAGAACCGACGACTGAGAACCGCCAAATCAATCATTCTTGCGATTGCTAAATATCATTTTTTAATTTCCTGAATGCATTTAATGACGGGAGCAGGCAAGGCCGAGCACTTTATCGTTTCTTTCCTCGCCCGCCCCGGACTCCCGGACTCTCTGGGCCGACAATTAATGTACCATTCTGGCATTTGTCAAGAAGTGCCGATGTCGAGGAGCGTGACGAACATCCTGTCCGTGTCTAAACTGCGACTTGCACTCGACCAGCGGACTCTTCGGCGGGGCTAATAGCCCGTCACGAGCAGGCACGGAAACCACTTTGCTCTTCACGCCAACGACTTCCTCTCGAAATTACGGCTCCTTCATTGGAAGTGCCAGCAAATATTGATTCCTGTACGTATGCAAACGCTCGCGTGCACACGCGCGCGTGCGAGAAAGAGAGGGAGTTCGCGCTCATATCCGCCGCGGCCCGAGATTTCAGAATTCCCGGCCAACTTTTCGCATGCAAGACTCACCGCGTTACTTCTCACGTGTAATGTAATTTAGGTGCGCGAGCGCGCATGCATTTCGTTATTATTGTCCATCACGGCGGGTTTCACGTGTCCGCGCGATCGACAAGACACGCGGCAGTTATTCGTCACGGTATATATGTGTGTGTGTGTGTGTGCGCGTGTGCCAGTGTTACGTCAAAATTATATAATAATTATAATTAAATAATGAACGTGTTAATAAAATGTTATCATGAATTGATGAAAAAATATTTCGATTTTCCATTTTCTTCTTGATAACAAATCGGTGTCGAGTGTTAATGGATGAAAATTTTCTTTGACTGAAATAATCGGGAGATTTAAATGAACCAATTGTCGTATATGTAATCACAAGTAATTTAATCGACCGATGAAATTAATTATCACTCGGTATACAATAAATCACATAAAAGTTTCGTTAATAATTACATCAATCAACGGATGAAATTATCTGTGATTTTGTGTAACAATTGATTAATTTTAATCATTGATTTAATTATTGATTATCTTGGGTAAAGGAAATTTTCATCGACTAATATCCTGATACCTTCTACATCGATTTGGATAGACAACGATACAAAGATATCGGCTTCATTTTCAGGAACAGCGGCAGAAACACTGATTTAGCTCCGGGGCCAGCTGAAAGTGCCCGCTGACATTTACCATTATCTCGAGGCGAGGCATAAAATTATCCTCGCCTATTATCATCGTCGTGAATCGACGACACGCGCGTCCACTCGAGACGACCGGGCGGGCGGACGAAATTTAAAGCCTCGCACGCACCGGGACGTCGAATTTACGGCGCGGCGCGATTACGAACCGGTGCGTCTTAGGGAACAGTCGTGAGTGGGACACACTTTTCGAATCGTCGATACACTTTTCCTAGTGCGGAACTCGTCGTCTCGATCGTCGCGTCGCAGGTTCTCTCTATCCCTCTCTCTCCTTCTGTCGGTCGTCTTTATTAATCGCCGGCCGATCCAAGAAACGCTCGGCAGAAATAGAATACGCGCCTCTTCGTCGTCCTCGCGTTCTCGCCCGGCACGCATTTGTAGCCGTACGTGCTTGTCGTCTCCAGAGACCACTTCGGCGCGGCTAGATACAATGCGTTGCAATAATTCGCGAGTGCCCGTCGTGAGCCGCGCGCCTTGTCGTATGTGCTTCCGCGGCGCGGCCGATCGTCGCAGATCGAACGTGACCTGGAACCTCGCTCTGACAGGCGCGCCGTCGTCGGCGCGAATCTCCCCGAGAAACGCTATGTAAAACGCACTCTCTTGCGAGCACTCGTCGTCATCGAAAGTTCCACGTCAACAACGTGATGCCCACCGACAGTGTGTCGTGTGTTAGTTTTCAAACGGAATGCGCGCTAACCTCGATGGTAAGTTGGACTTTGGACGTGGGGTTGGAAAGCTGAGCGAGTGCCTTCGGCCTCTTGGACTTTCACCCCAACCTGCGGTTCACGCTCTACCACCTGCGATTTCGCACGTCTCCTTTCTTCCTTCGATTATTAATACATTTGCGAGTCCACTGCGATATCCTCGCAAGACGGTCAACTTTATCGTTATGTACTCTTTAAATTTCTCGGAGTAAAATTTCACTCGAAAAGTAATAGAGCCGCTCGATGCGAGTCACTCGAGTGACTTTCCACTTATTTTTAGGGTGAAGTCTAGATCGTCAAGTAAATGTTTCCACTCGAAACTGAGGAACAGATCTCATGTATTCCATGTCAGGAACATATTACTCTGATCGACCGAAACATTCGCTCATATGGAGTCAGAATCCACTCTAATCTTGAGTAAAACCTGTACTTTTGCAATTTCCAGTGGCGGTATCTATTCACTTCGAGTGAAAATACTGCCATTTCTCACTCGTTTCGAATGAGACTTCACTCCAAGAAATTTGAAGAGCATACTAGAGAGAAAATTACGTCATAGATCTCGAGATTACGCAATTCTTGATGCACAAAAAATAAAATTTTTTCAAAGTTAAAAACATTTGGCAGTTTCATATCAAAGGAAAGAGATCGACTTCGAGACCGCTGAGATCAAACAAATTTTGAGTCTTTGACGTAATAACTCTAATAGGTGACAGACGCGGCTGAAACAGATCCGACAAAGATATCAGGAATAAATGTCGCCCCCCGCAGGCAGAAAACCTTTCATCGTGAGGCAAGCAAAGTAAAAACGCGTGTTCTCGCTTACTAACAACCAAGTCATCGATTTGCGCTGAATTTGCTCAGCTGTCGCGGTTGGCGTAATCGCGCGAGCGATAACACCAAATATCGCCAGCGTGCAACAGTAAAAGTAAGTACACGCACGCACACACACACACACACACACACTATAGAGACAATGAGGCTCGCTTGATGCGCGTATTTTCCGTGATATTTGCGGAAAGCGGGGGCGATATTTGCGCGTCTCGCGGCGCAGGTAAGTGCCGTCGAGGTCTCGGCGACGTCGAAGGCCCCTTTAACGGCCTCGACGACGGGACGCGCGCGACCTCGGCGAGGTGTCCAAAAATCGCGAGCGGGTCAAAATCCACGGTGGTCGCTAGTTATTTTTAGCGGCGCAACACGGCTTTTCTAATTGATCTTGGATCATCGGACGGAAAGAGCGCGGGAGCACGTGCTGCGCGCGTCGCAACGCGGCGACCGCGTGTGCCGCGGCTCGAAAATAGAATGAAAATCGGGAAAGCGGCTAGACGAGACTCGCCGGCGGAGAAGGGGCATGAGCTCGTGTTCTCGTCTAACGCGTGTAGCCTACATGTAATTTCGACGGCTCGTAATTTTTGCGACGCATCAGCCGACTCTCAAAATTTTGGCCAACGCGACGTCTCATCACTCGTGACTGTCTCAATGGCGATGGAACTCCAGCTTTTCTCCCATTGGAGCGGATGCTATAATAATACGAAGAGTTTCTCCGAACAGAAGATAGAGTGTATTATTTTCAGTTCAGTTCTCGATGATGCAATCGAGTTTAAAAATAATCCCTCGCGTTTATGCGCGCAAGAGCGACGCGATCGACGTGAAATCTATCTTCTCGCGCAGGATCCGTTAATCGCTCAAGTGGCATTTTCGTTTCACTATGACATGTCGCGTCGCGTTTTCATCAATTTCAAATCCCTGTCGCGCACTCGCGCGCGTTAAGGCAGCAGTTGTCTAGACAAACTGCGGAGCGCCATAAATCCGGACGCAATTAGAATTCCGTCGCGGGCTTTTTCGAGCTTTCCGGCGATGCGGCGATGAGACGCCCAGTAAAAGCGTGCATCCGAGAGAGAGGGAGAGAGAGAGATAAAGAGAAACATATCCTAATTTTCCATCGTGGCGAGGTATCGTAACACCTGGCTGAAATCCGCGCCTGCGTGATGACGGAGCCTCGCTCCAACCCTCGTGAGACTTTCGGTGCGAGGGTGCAATTTAAACTTTGGCCCAGTAGCCAATCAACCCCTTGACGAGCGGACGATCCGGAGGGAAGTCGGTCGCGCTAGAAATAACAAATTCTCTCGCGACTCGACGGCGCTTGTGCAAATGGTGCGTTTTTTCCCGCCAAGTTCGTCGTTGTCGTCGTTGTCGTTACCGTTGTTATCACGTTGTCGCCGGAGGGAATACCAACCCACACCGTACTGCAATCGTGATTCCAAATTTGAGAGGTACACCGCTTTTGCGAAGGTAACGTTTCCGATTTCGACTCAAGATTATCTCAATGATTTCCAAGCCCAAAGTTTCAACATTTTCAAATTCAGTTTCAAAGACAGATTGTTTCATCGTAAAAAAAGAATTAAAATACTGTAATTATAAAGGAGACAACACGTCAAACATGAGAAAGAGAGAATAAAAATATGAAATATTTTTCCATTCAAAATAATCAAATGAACGATTGCATCTTTGCAAAATTATTGCATCTTTAGAAAGTGATTCTTGAACGTTACTGCAAGTTAAAAATTATTTGAAAAACGATTAGAAATTATTGCATCTTTAAAAAATGTATTTCTTGAACGTTACTGCAAATTGAAAATTATTGGAAAACTACTGTATCTTTAAAGAATATAATTTTTGAATGTTGGACTGATGCATTTATAGACGGTGAGACTTGATGTATGTTACTTACACGGCAGAGATAGTGATTTCGAGTTAATATATTTCAAACACGCGGTGGTCGCATGAAGAGAATACGAGATCTCGTCGCGCGCTCATCTCCTAAGACACTTAATTACGCGACACATTTAGAAGTCACACGACGGACCGTGTCTGGCCCAAGTATTTGAAAGCATCGCATTTCAAACCGTGATCCGGGATGCCCACTCACGAGAATTATCTGTTTCGAAAGGTTGCTCTCCTGCGGCGGAATTAATTTTCAGTTTCAGTCAAAATTACGTCACGAGACTTTGATACAAACCTTCAACGAGAGTCTTTTTTTCCAAGTCTCTTGCTCGTGTTCAATTAAATAATCAGCTTTTTGATGACATTTTTCAACGAAAAATAAAATTAATCTTAACTAATTTTAATAAATTTAAATCAAATTTAAATTAAATTAATTAAATTAATTTTAATAAATTTAAATTAAATTTAAATTTATTAAATTAATTTTAACAAATATTTAAAATATTTTCATTACGTTATCGTACGAATATTCGCTTGATTCCTGAGACTTTCACGAGAGAAATACTGGATTTAGTTCCGGGCTTGGAAGCATGTTTTTTGTGAATTTGTTTCCAACATTTTGTGAACATTTCAGTTTATTTCATTCGAGAATGGAATGCGTAATTCTGTGTCAAATGCGATAAACATTGGAAACATATCTACGGAAAGAAAAAAAGAAAAGAACGCGGCTCCAACCCGAATGCCAAATCCAGTATTCGTTATAACATCGCGTGTATCGCGTAGATTCTAGGTAAGAGAACGTTACCCACGACCACCACGCGATGAAATGTAAAGGATAAAAAGCGTGCGTTAAAGAGCCCATTGAATTGATTCCTTTCAGAGTTCCGGAAGAGCAACTCGCACGCCTGAGCGACCACGGTCATGGTCTTGAGCGAAACTCTCGCAGACTCCAGCTTCTTGACTACCACATCGTTTAAGATCCAATTTCAAGCGGTCAGTGCTGTCTCCTCTCACGTCTTCTCTCGACGTGCGTGTATGCATGCGTTAGCCGCGATGTACTCTGTCGAATCACGAACGTCGTGTCGAATCACGAGCGCGACAACTCGTCCGGATACGCGATCGTGCCTTCCGCGAATGTCAACGACACGGTGACGGCGGCGACGCGCGTGACATTGAAGTCAAACGTCACGATTATTGTCCCATCGTGTGATATCGCGTGAGACTTATTAACAGCGGTAAGCGCCGCGAATTGGCACGCGCGAGGAATCTTAATAAATCGCATTGCGTCCCGTAGAGTCGTCCAGACTCTCTTTCATGTTCGCGCGCTGTGGCGTGCCGGAATTCAACCGCCGAATCTGATCGCGATAAATACCCGCCGCGTTGAAATACGGTCGCTGGATAGCATCTAAAAGCCACCTCGTCCTGAATTACAGCGCAAACCGGCCCAAAGGGATACGAAGCATCAGATAGATGCTTTTAATCAGAAATTGTTCCAGAGAATAATCGCGCAGCGTAATTTATGCTCCTGACATTTAAAAAAATTGATCTTTAACCCTTATTATCACGTTGAATGCCATGACAGTCACCAACATCACCGTGTTTCATTATGTTACATATAAAGCATAATCGATTACATTTGAAAAATCTATTGTTGCCCATAATGGAAAGCGAAGTAAAAAGTAAATCTTAATAAATTTATTCACTTTGTCTTTGACACTCTATCGTCATTAAGTCTTTGCACAATTCAACGAAAGGTAAATGTAGGAAAGTAGTTGAAATGAATGTGGAAAGAATTTTATATCTCCCTGCAGAAATGTCATTAAGATCACTTGCATAAAAGAGAAACCGCGAACGACACACGGATGGAAATCCCCAGCCGGTCTCTCGAAACATCGCGACACCCACGAATGTAATGTACTCGTTCTCGCGTCGTAATTAATCAAGTACACTTTTAACACAGTTGGTTCGCGGAAGTCGCGTGCGTGAGCGTCGAGGAGCGTCCGCGGGATCGGTTGAGTGTCCTCCTTCGAGGATTTCCTTCCCTTCTATTTTTTTTTTCGCGGCAAAAGAGCGACTAGCACGAACAAATGTTCGTTACAATGGCGAGGTTTAGGGGTGCCGACCTTGGCACGAAAGGCGTCGGCAGCTCTTCGAGACGAGACGATTAGGAGCTCGCGTGCTCGGTTCTGCCTTGCCTCGCCCACCCCCTTGCGCCAACCCTCTTTTTATCGGAAGCTTTCTCTTTATCATTTGGCGCACGCTCGTCCATTTTTCGATTGCGCGACTTAATCCGCTAATAAATGTCATCCGGATGATGTCTCGCGCGATTAACTTGCACTATCTGCTTCTTCAAATACGCGTTCGTCTTCCCGATATCTTCTTACGCGCGGAGGACATTATATTTCTTCTAAAGTTCCTTGCCGAGGTCTAAATTTTCGCCGAAGGCTAGCTTCGTATAATTTATTCCGCGTTTCGCGCGCCCCATTTCGCAAATTCGCCTACTCTATTTAAATTCTACTTCACATCAATCTTCTTAATTAGCGTTTCTGTTTAAAGAGTCTACGTGCACGAGCAAACATCGTGTAATAATGGCGAGAACATGTGCGAATAGATGTTCTGTGTGTCACATTGTCTGAATTTCATCGAGTGAAATTCGAATAGTAGAGTGACAGCCGAATTATTCGAATTTAAACGACTGTACACTCATGTGAAGATCGTTAAGTCAATATTTTCTTTCGACGTTTATTTTGAACGAATTTTTACGTTTCGATTTCACTCAAGAAAATTTCGAAAGATTTAAAAACAAATGAAGAGTTTTTTCGATACTGCATTTAATTAAAGAGAAACTTTGCTACTCAGAGTTCAGTCAGATATTTAATGTTGCGCCCAAAAACATATCTTTAGCGGAATCCTCTACGCAACCTCAAAAGGATTCTTCCGTGAAACTCTAAGAGAAAAATATTTTAACATCTAAAAAAAAGAACTTTAGTTGCAAGGTGCTATTTTCTGCCACATATTCTAAGCTGAAAAAATATTCCTCTTCTAAGGATTCTTCTAAAGAGATTCCTCTTCTATGGCGAGAAATAATATCGTGGATGGAATATTTCTCTTCTGGTTTTAGAGAAATCCTCTTAGGGCCATATATAAAAGAATTCCGCTAAGAAATTATATTTGTTTCTATGTGTGTCTATCGAGAAATCATAAAGGAAGGCGCTAGCGATTGAATCGCTCATACGAATTGAGAGGGTTCGAGTGACACGCTAATACAATTCACGGTAATACAATCCGACACGCGCATCAAACGCGTACGCTCTCTGACGGAATAATTCGCGTCTTTCGCGAAATTTCACCGAGGGCGAACGGCGCGGCTAACGGCAGATAAGGTTTGATCGGAGCTCAGGCTTTCGAGTAGACGTTACATGTGCCGTGTATAGCGGCTCTCGGCAACGACGAGTTCTCATGCGGTACGGTCAATCAATGTCAGAAAGCGCACACACGTCTGAAAGTCAATCAGACCGGGCATCCGGCCGGCACGGCGCGGCGCGGCGCGGTGCAACGCGGTGCATCACTTCGACGTTCCCCGATGGAGTTACAGCGGCCGAAAGGACGCTCGCCGTTTATAAATCAGACCCGAGTTACGTGCATCAGGAATATCGATCTCTCGATGTCGAATGCGAGGGCCGACCTCCCGACGCATTAATCCCGACTGCTCGCTCTGCGCGAGGAGAAGCCCTCGTTAATCTGTGAGTGCACTCGCGGCACTTCCAAGAGCACCTGATGCTCGCTCAGTGTACGTCGTAAGAAGGAAAAACGAGAGAGAAAGAAAGAAAAAAAGAGAAAGAGAAGACTCGATCGTTTACTAAGGGGTGGAAAAACTTATATAGTTACTTAAGGCTTTACGACCTGAAGCGCGCGGAAATATGATGTCTAGATAAATTGTGGGGCGCACAAGAAATTCGCCAGGAACGAGCTATGCGTGTATTAGTAAAATGTTATTATTATTGATAAGTAGAAGCGGAAGTGGCTCTGAGAAAAGAGGACAACGGATGACTGACGCGATACGTTGCTATCAATCGCGAAAATGTCACGCACGATTCTCCCGGCTGGCCCGGCGGAAAGAAATTCCAAGTTGAACGATATCCCGCGAACATCGTTCGACACTGCCCCGTTGAACGACGGCCACGTTTGTTTTTCCGGGTTCGACAGGGCGAGCCGTGTTCTAAGCGTATCGAACGATTGACGTCACGTCGCTGAAATTTTAGCCGCAAGCTGGCAAGATATGACACTTACACACGCGCCATCACGACTAATCCGCTGTCGCGATAGCGCCACGTCTCTTTGATTAATCAGCCGTTCTTATCGCGCGGCGCATAGCGCGAGTGCACGGCTGCGCGATTTTCGAGGTGCAAACACATTCGCGCGAACGAACAAACGAACGTACGTCAGTGTATGTTGCGAAATACCAAGCGGCGGGATTCGCCGCATCTGACGAGAGGGAAAGAGAGATAGATAGATTTATTAAGCCTTGTGGAATAAAATCCATTCAGGCATGCAAGTCATAAGAGTACAGTCTATATATAAAAGTATAGTATAGTAAAAAAATGGAAAGAAAACAAGAATACTATAGCAGATATAACGCAATAATATAAAGTGGCAGGTGAAAAAATAAAAAAAGGACGGAACAAATTCTACACTGAGAGAAAAATTATATTAAAATCAATAAATATTTCCTTGATGGGTGCCATTAACATATTTACTTAAATCTACATTCTCTTTATTTAAATCAAATATTGTTTACCTGATTTAAATAAACAATATTTGGTTTAAATAAAGAGAATGTAGATTTAAGTAAATATATATGTTAATGGCATCCATTAACAAGGAAATATTTGTTGATTTTAATATAATTTGTCTCTCAGTGTAGTTAATAATTAAAGAAAAAAAAATTTAAACACGCATTGAAAAACTCAATTAGAGGTATGATAATGTTGATAACAAAATATGAAAAATAATTAAAAATAAGAGAGAGAGAGAGAGAGAGAGAGAGAGAGAGAGAGAGAGAGAGAGAGAGATTTCTGCCTTGATATTTTTTTGTTTCTCTTTATTTTTGTCTCGTAACAAACGGCGATCACTCTTCCGGCCATTGATCATCCTCCTCCCGTGGAGGAGCGCTTACCGGGATAGATGCATGAACGTTGTATTTTACAGCATCCGATATTGTTCCATATGTCGCGCCGACACCGACGGAAGCTTTCACGGAGCGACGCAATTGTTTGGATATGAAACGGTCTATTCAGAGGGAGCAAACGCGGCGGAATCGAGCGACGAAAACTCGATAACTGGGGCGATAACTCCGAAGCCCATTTACCGTGTAGTCGGCTCGTGCCAGTTTCGTCCGTCTCTCACGTAACGAAGCGAGATCGTCGGGGCCTTCTACGGCGCGCACACCGGTCGTGTGTGTTAACTGTCGTTGTTTTCTCGCGCATTCGTTGCCGATAAGCTGGTAGTATGCGCGCTGCCTTCGGCCGAACGATGATGAACTGTTTGACGACCAAATGTTTCCCGATGCGAACTCAATCACGCGCGACTTCATTCATAATTTCTCCACGTGCAACGTGGAATACCATTCGTGATTCGTCCAGGTCGCGAATTGCACGTACAATCGGAAATGCAGCGAAGGGGAAACCTCGATTATATTTTTTCAAGATTATTTAGAGCTGATCAGAGTTGAAAGATAGGTGGAAATAAATGCACGATGTGTGAATCCGGAAATATTTCATTTTCCTCCCTCGACAACTGACTTCCGCGCACAGTTTTACTATCCGCGTGAATAAGCTAGTACGATTTGGGAAATTCAAAATATTGGCGGATGGCCAGGAGTCGCACAGTCGATGACAGTATTATACCGTGCAACATTACGAAGCCGAAATAACCGTGTACGCGCGCGCGAAAGACGGTAGCGCAATTTTACGCGAGCGCCGTGAGCTCGTTCTCAGCGTTTCGCTCGAGATCGCCTTGCCCGCTTTTCGTTTTTCGCCTCGGATTTGCAGCAATTTCCGCCGGCCGTAAAGTTAACGGAGGCAATGCGAGTACGCGAAGAAAAAAACAATTCGGCTCGCGCAACGCGTTTCCATCGGAACTGCCGCATTTGCCTGATTAGAAACACCGAACGAACGAACGAACGAACGAATGAACGAACGAACGAGCGGGAATTGAAATTCCTTCTTTTGATCGATAGACAGGCGGAGAGGTATAGTTACTCATTCTGGTTAGCGTCGAAGAACGCACGATGCGATCATTAAAATACGACGTGCTTTATACAACACATAATTGACAATTCAATGAAACAGGAAAACGAATCGGAAGAAAGGATTGAAAAAGGAGTTAGGAGAGTTCGAAAATCTGTTGATTCCATCGTCATTTTTCTTCTTATCGATAAATAGGTAAAAAAAGCACAATTATGCGCTCCATGTAGTGTTCTCTAGAAGTAGGAGCAGTCATTTAAATACAAGGTGCTTCATACGATACGTAATTGATAACTTAATGAAACAAAAATTAAATGAAAGAATAATAAGAGAGAAATTAACAGAATTTCGAAATCTGCTGATTCGATTTAGTCTTGTGTTCCGCGTAATTCTCAGCGCACGTGCGCGAGACGGTGAAAAGAAATGTAGGTTGACAAAATCGCAAAATTTGTATGACGGAACAGCCGCGGTTCAACCGATAAGAGCCTGCGAATGCGCGCGTTTCGATTTACGTTAGCGCCTCTAGTGCCGTTTCATTGACCGAGGATTAACCTCGACCGCTCGCGCGCTCCTCTCTTCTGTATCTTATGTCTTCGTAACTTGGTGCCGATCCAAGAAAAGAAGCAGGCACAAGGAAAATAACTCGCCGTTGAACGGAGTTCTCGTTTCTCCATGTTCGCGAGAAGTTGTGAGTTCCTCCGACTCACTTGAGATGCCAAGAAAAAAGAAAGAAAAAAATGGCACAAATTGTCATTCTCAAGCGAACTGGCGATACCTTTTTTTCAGCCTCTCACAGACCTCAGCCGACCTTCGACGATGGTGGGTGGCCGCAGGGTGAAGCTCACGGCGAGCAATGAAACCACCACCACGTCCATGGTCACCAGCGGCGTTACCAGTAGAAGCGACAACAACGTCGTTGTCTCCACTGTACAGCCGACCACTCAGCAAGTAAGCTCACTCTCCCAGTGCCTCTCTCTCTCTCTTTACTCATCTATCTCCACCTCCGTCTCTCCCTTTCTCTCGCGTCGTGCATCCTCGTTTTCATACGTCGACGCGTATCTCGACGGCTCGGTCGCGCGACGACGTCTCGCGGCCTCGAGAGTGCGAGTAGCAGTCTATCTCGCGACGCGCGACTCCTCCGCAAAGTGTCGACGCGCGCGGTATCGTCCGCGTCATTGAACGGCCGCGCGAGAAAGAGAGAAGTCGCGGCCACATTGTGATCGTCTCTCGCCGGGAAAAGACGTGGAAAAAATAATACAGAACAAGACGGGCGACGGGCGTGCGCGTCGCGTACGTATATCGGTATGCACGCGCCGGCGATACATGTGGCGCAATAACGGAAGGAGACACGCTGCTCCATCGGCGTGTTCGAGACGATCCCGGAGGAGCGCGCGATTCCCTCTTTCGTTTCGACTTGGCGACGCCTGATAATTCTCGCAAAACGGAAACACATCCGACGGGTGCGCGAAGACCGACGGCGACGAGCATCTGTCGCGCGCCGCAAGCTCAACGGGAACTAACTTACGCGTGAACGTGATTACGTTGGAGCGAGAGCAGCCGCGCGAATTGTCCTCTTCTCTCGATAAATTTCGGCTTGCTAAATCTCAACTGTAGCAAAGTTCGAGCGAATCGCATTCATCTCGCAGTCGTCGGTGATCGCATAGTCGTTTTCCTTGTCTGAATCTGGCCGATTATTAATGCATTTTTTATTTGAAGACAAGTTTTATTTCAAGAAAAACTTGTTATTTCGTTTTTTTTTTCGAATACGTTCGTGATTTCGTAGTATTAGACGCAAAAATTCGAAGGCCGGCCTCTGATCAAGCGAAAAACACGATGCGCTTAATTCAACATTTCGTGACTCGCGGAGCTTCCGGAAGTGCCGGACACGCGTAAGCGGATGGGTCACACGAAGACGCTCGTGAACGTATAAGGGAGACGCGAACGTGGCTCACATTCGTGCGTTAATGATGCGTGTGTGTATTTGCGCACACGAGGCACCGACCGACGCGAGAGCTTAACTGACATATAAATAGCGCGTTTAAAGAGAGCCGCTAGAACTCTCTCGCGTGTACGTCTTACGAGCCCATCAGGAAGGCGTGAGTCGCTTTCCGAGGAGGATCGCGCGGCTGGAGCGAGCGAGTGAGCAAGCGAGTTAACGATCGGTGATCGACGTCGAGGACGGAGATCGCGACAGGCGAACTGGGGAAGTGCGTGCGATTCGTCGATTATTTTCTTTTCCTTTCGCTTGGATAATTGGTGATGTGAAGGAGCAAGTGCAAAATAAGCCGTAGAATTCGCGCCGGCGATGACATACGTAGTTCGTCGATAGAGTGACGACGTCTCCGTGTCTTACGAATTCAAAAGCAACGTTTAAATGATGAGAAGTAAAAGTTTACGCGAGAATGTTGCCGAGTTGAAGAGCGATCTGGTTGAATTCGTATTAAACGCGAGTTAGGATGCCATCGATCGATGGATCTCGGCTTGCTCACTTTCTAATTTCTCCCCTTGCTCCCGGGACTAATTATTGCGTTTCGTGCGTCCGGCAGAAAGTCCGACGGATCCTCGAGGAGCAGGCCAGGTGGCAAGAAAACGGCCCACGCAGACGCGTAAAGTGCACGTCGGGTACCGCTGCTTGCTGCGTGGTTAACAACTACAGCATCGTCGCATCTAGGGGCGAACTCGCTCGAAATAACCGCGCCGCGAGTGAAACGACGACCAACGTCACCACCAAGAAACGGACGGCGATCGTCAACGGGAGGATTCACTCCAAGGAAGAGACCGCTCGCTGCGCCATCCTCGCCGAGGAGACGAGGAAACCCAAGGAGACGACGTCCGCCACGAAAACGGGCATCTCGCGGGGTATCCATCGCGGAATAATCAAGTCGGCTTCCGTGCCGAAGGATTTGAAAGAAGGTACGTCCCTCAATTATTCTTCTTTGCAACGCCAAATTACACATCGTCTTCACAGAGGACAATTTGTTCATTTCCGGCCGAGAATTACTTGTTTCTTTTCGACAAAATGTGATCGACTCTTCAATTTCTTACTTCTTCCTTGCAATACAAAGTTACATATCATCTTAGCGGATAACAATTTTTTTTTAATTTTTGACCAAAAATTCTTAATCTTTTCTTTTTTCGTCGACAAAATGTGATCGACTTTTCAGTCCTTTATTGCTCCTTCCTTGCGAAGATGTTACACATAATCTTTGCAGAAGATAAATTTTTAAATTCTTAGCTGAAACTTTTCAATATTTTCTTTTTTACGAAATATAATGGATCTTATCAGTTGATCTTGAAAAATCTCGGGTAGATGTTGATTTTGATGAGAGTGCAATAATGAACGCGTTAATTACTTTTCGCAAGTCGAGTCTACCTACATGTTTCGCAAGCCCGAGAATTGATCTTTCCTTTTCGACCGCGCGTCCAAGTATAGCCAGCGTTTTTTCCGTTCTATTCTGGAAGGAGCTGATCCCTAATTAGTTGTTTACCGTCCTAAATGTGCGGCATTTTGCCACGCAATTGCCTCTGATGGAGAGAAGTTCATTTCCTGTTGCATTTATATGCGATTTACACTTAGTTGTAGATAGATAGGACTGACGATGACGTGCGTATGTGATATTTTGTACCTTCGTGACTCGTCCCGTCGGGGTTGCTGCTAACGAGGCAGCAGTAGTTCGCAACGGAAACTCGCCCACGGCTTCTAATCATGATTTCCAACGAAATGAGGGAAATGCACGAATTTTTCACCCACCTTCACATTTTATTCCCGAGAGGAATAAACGCGTACGTTACGGGAGTCAAATTAGGAAGGATTAAGCATCGGGAAAAGTGCCCGAAATGGCACCGCGTCGAGAGAGATCCGCATTCGCGATTTCCCAACGAAAGGGCAACGGCGACTGCGATTTATACGATTTGCACGATTCGCTCGTGCTACTATTCGCCCCTATTTCTACCCGGATTTCAATTTCTATCGTAACGAAACCCGAGCACGACGTGCACGTCATGTCTCGCCGGGTTGTCAAGCGAGGTTGGAACAAAACCGACTGGAAATTCGCCTTTTGATTTACATCGTGTGCATCGCGGGGGACACGCGAATCATTCGACGCGAAGCTCACGCAACCCGCGGCCGGTCGAGCGCGAACTATTCCTCGCGTTTTAGTGCTTTTATTATCGCGAGAACGTCGCGTCGCGTCGCGTCGCGCGAGCAACATCCGCGTGCCGCGAGACGCGTCGTCGTCGTCGTCATCGTCGTCGTCTATTTAAGCGTGGCATCCGCGAGGATGCAGCGGGACGAGAGTGACACCGGCCAAATATAGCGAGTTCGTTTGGTCGCCCGTTCGCGACTCACACACGCAGGTCTTCCAGCGAGGGAGAGAACGTTGCAGCGGGTGCCGGAGGACGGTATCCTGAAGAGGTCTTCCGCCTTCTTGGCGAGCCTAACGCATCCCTCCAGCAAACAGCTCGCCGAGCGCAATTCGCCGGATTTGGACGACGACACGTCTAAGTTCCTCAGGCCGTCCAACAACGGCTACCGGCTCGCTCGCGTCTCGTCCTCGAGGTACACCGGCCTCAAAGGATACTTTTCCATCTTGTCGAGCGGCGACAGTAACGCGGAACTGCGTGCGCTGCAACGCTCGCCCAGCGTGCAGACGCTGTCCTCCAGCTGGAAGAAGAAGGGCGCCGTAGGAGTGAAGAAATCGGTATCCTTCAGCTCCGACACCAGCTTCGAGGAGAAACGCGCGCCCTACCGGAAGCAGTCTGCCGTTCACGAGGTTAAGATTTACCGCAAGGGTGTGCTTCAGGGTGAGTTTCCCTGATAAGCTCGCTAATTTTCGCCCCTCCCGCCTTTTGACTGCGAATCATAATTTCTATTTTGCAAAACTGACTTTCTCTGACAAACTCGCTAGTGTTGCCTTTCTCGATTTTTTATTATGGACCTTAAAATAAAAGTGCCAATTCTCAAACACAAGCCTAATTCTGGACGTTCTTATTATTTTGGTCTTTAAATAGGAATACTTAAAGACCAAATGTTCAGGATTAGATACAGACAGGATTAATACGAGCATTGGTACTTTTACCGTAATTTCTATTTGATAATACTAACATTATCTTAGCAAATAAACTGATCTTTTAAATAAAAATTGACCGAACTGACTCGTCTCTTTCCTCAAAGGTAGTCTTTTAGAAAAGTCACTCAGGCACTTTTGCTAACATTAATGCTGATTAATAAATTAATATTTGAGTAATATGAGCAGTGACGAGTTGATATTTCATTCGCCAGACGAACTTCTTGCGTCAATATGTATTGCACTTATCATCGTCGTGAAATTGATCTCAACGCGACTTCAGCCGCGACAAAACTGACACCAGCTGATAAGAGTCATATTTGAATCTCGATAAACGTTCGTTGACCGAATGAGTACCTTTTCGAGATCGAGTGGCAGATCATGTTTGTCAGTGCACAAGAGAGATAGAGATAGATAGACAGATAGATAGATAGAGAGAGAGAGAGAGAGTGAGAGATTCACGAATAAATTCCCATATAATTGAACAACGTAGGAATCCCGCTAATTATACACTGCTGGGAGCATCGGAAGCTCCAGTGTATTGCGCGCGATTTAGGATAATATATGCCAATTTCAAACCACGTTGCACCGGATACTAATATACAACTGGATTATTATTCAGCAGTAAACTCCCTGCTGTAGACTTAGAGCCGATACAGTCAGACAGTTGCGCGAGTAACTCGATAAAGCTCGTACCCACGAGCGGTACCATCACGCGGTGGTATTAGCCCCGAGGCATTAGGACATTATTAACGAGGTTACTGTAAATCTTACAGACCGCGCGCGCGAGAAGACGACTAAAGCGAAAGTGCCGCCCTCGTGGGAGACACCCTCCGGGGGCCCTACAGCCCTGCTGAGGGCCGCCAGGGAGGCGGACGACTCGGGTCTCAAGGAAATCGTGGCGCAGGCCCGGAAAGTAGGACTGAAGGGCATGGACGTCAACGTGGTCGACAGCAGCGGCAGGGTGAGCGGAAATTTTCTGAGTGATCTAATTAGCACGGTAATTACCGACACATCCCATAATGCATTTTACGGTATCGCCTCACGGCGCCCTTTGTGTCGTTGATCCTGCCATCATGCGGCGCGAAGGTGAGGGCAATGTGGAGAGAGTCGCGTTTCGCGTCGAGGTTCGCGGATTATTGGGGGGAAATACAGTAATGCGGCAAGAAAATGCGCGAGGGATTAAATACACGGGAGTGTGTTAAATATGCGGTAGAGAAGGATTTACCCGGCGATTTACACTGGGAGAAAAATGTTTGCGACTGTTTAAAAATTACGTTGCGAAATAACTATAACTTGGAAAAGCATTTTTATAATAAGTGCCAGTAAAATAGTAACAACAATAACCTTGTATATGCATATTTTTATTATATTTGTACTGCTTTTTTTTTGTTAAAATGACCAAAATGTAAAATTCCACGCTGAATATTACTACAAAATTTCTGAGAGGTTGGCCATCTCTTTTCTCTCAGTCTAAGAGTGATTTAACTTTGAGTCGGATCGAGCGATCGCTCATGCTTGTTCGTCAATCTCGACACGTACAGGTCCTCTCACGGCCGTTAGTGGATACTGGATCAAACGCCGCGGCTTTAAACGAGTTCGACAGATTGGAAAGGCCAGCGGTCCGTAATTAACAGGGCGCGGAATCGGGATCGATGAAAGCGCAATTAGGGTCGCGCGCGAGTCGAGCGCGACGGCGGGAAACAAATTTTGCCGTCGAATGGGTCTATTTTTAAGTTGCTCCCAGGATTCCGGCGATCTGTCCGTCGATGCGTCGTGAGTCGCGCTCCTCTCTCATTGAACGATCGACCACGGATGTTACACAAAAATGTGCACGCAACGCACGAACAGCTGTCGCTCTTGCTGGACGCAATTGATTCTTCACGAACGGGATTTTAGCGTGACACGATGACGTGTCGGGAGATGGACGCTACCTCGTTACCGTTTCCACGCGACGCCGCGTTTTTCAGCAATAGCGAGGCCGTAGCACCGGCTCCTGCCATTATTAATAACGAGTCTTTCGTTACCTCGTTGCCAAAAGAAAATGAAAATAGAAATGATAATGTGATCGCGTTTTTCAACAATGGTCAACACTCGACTCCTACCGTTATTAATGTCAAAACTTACATCACGTCAAAAATAATAATTACGTTTTTGTAGCAATGATAAAATCAAAATTTAGTTTCTGCTAGGCAGAGAGAATATTATAGTTTTTTTTTCAATTTTACTATGTTTTTAGCAATGAAGAAATAGATTGCCAGTACAATGAGAAAAAAAATTATTGATCTAATTAAAATTATAGTTATTTTTGGCTTAAGCCATAGTTTTTGTTTATTCCAACGCAACAGTGCTAATAGTAATACGCATATTATTGTCACTAGCATTATAATAGAACTTAATAAAAGAATAGTTCTCTAGATCATAATTTATAATAATTATTTCTTTATATGATTATAGTTACAAGTACTTTTAAGTAGTTACAAGTAATTTTTTCTCAGTGTATAGTCCATCGTGTTAAGGAGTATAATAAGTTTCATTAGAAACATAAAAATTTTTTAACAGCAGCATGTTTTAATAGCATTCTTTAAATTTTAATTCCTAAAATAGAAATATCACATATGAAATGAAAGGACAATGAATTGCTGTAGAATGTGAACCTATTCCTTGGTTAAAAAATTCTATAGTAATTAATTTTTACTATAAAATGACCTCCGTGTATATCGATATTTATGTCGAGATTTTCGTTAACTTATTGCCGAAAATCAAAGATACAAAAATGACAACGTTATCGCATTCAATAATTTTCGATTCTTCTTTAGGTCGTTCTTTCTCTGTCCCGGAAATCTCCCACCGACCCGGAAAATCCTTGAATCTCGACCTAAAGATAATCCGGTTTATTTCGTGCTGCTTTGCACCGCGGCACCTTGATCAGATAATCGGCGCAATTAGCACGATGCCCGGGCAAGTTTTCTAATTGCTGACGAAACTACGTATAATTAACCGGACTGTTCTCCTGTTATTGCCGGCTCGGGACGGCGTACCGGATTAGGCGGAGAATCGATGCGAGACCGAGGTGAGAGGATTCGAGCGAGAATTTTGTCCTCCTCTTGTCGTCATCGTCGTCATCGCGGCAAGCCGGTGATTTTCCGACTCGTTCGACGCGCTGCGATTCGACACAAAAATTCCACGCTTCCAGCGGAGGTTTCATTAGCTCCCACATGCAAACCCCCCGCGTACACTGACCGGCGGAAAAATACCCAATTGCACGCACGTCGTCCGACTCTGGCCGCTTCTGCGACAAGCCGCGCGTGAAATCGCACTCCGAGAGATATAAGATTGCTTGTATTTCGACAGTGGATGGAATCTGCCGGGATATATCCCTCGGCAAACATAAAATGTTTTCCTTGATAAGAATTTTGTTCATAATCGAGGAACTGCTGAATATCGAGCCGATTTAAAAGCAGACTTTTCTTCTGATTCTCTTCTATCTATCCTATCTATGTTTCTCTAATCAAGAAACACAACACGTGGTAAATGACACAATCGAAAGTCAAAAATTGCAAACACACGACAATCGACAGGTGTTCACGTTACCGGATGCTGTAATCAGCGTTGTTTCGCGGGGTGCTCTCGACGCGCGAAGTTTAACGTCCCACGACAACGACGACGAGTTCATTACCATTGTCGAATATTGCGGTTGTCCACGTTCGAGGATAAGGCCGAGACGATTCCTCCCGAGGACGCTAAATCTCGCGTTTCATCAGAATTTCCTCCGTTGCGTTTCCTCGGGATTCCACGTTTTTTCCCGCGTTCTCTTGTATCTCGGTACCAAGTCGGAAGCGCGTGATCTCGCTCGACCGGCGCGCGGGAGTTTTCCTCGGCACTGACCGCATTCCGTATGCAACCGAGTCGTACGCGCTAAATTAAAGCTGGATCGCTCCGTCGAACGCGAGCAACCTTCGCGAAGTCGCTGGCGAACCTGCATTAAGGTCGGGACCAAGGGAAGCGTGTAGGTGTCCCGGTTAATTGTGACAGATAACAGCGCGGCCGCTTCTAAGGTCGCACACGTGGAACGGAAAGAACGCGCGCGCGGAATCGCACAACCTGTCGCTCGCGATCGATCGCTGTCACGCACGTATGCATGCAAGTACGCATCGCGAACAGTTGCGTATTAACCCTGAGACGGCGTTTAAACAGATACTCGATTTCCTTAAGCGGATCGCCAATGGTGACTCAACTAGGCTGCTTCAAAGGATCCGCACGAGGTCGGCACGCGCGGCGCGATTTGCGGAGACGCCGACATTTAGACAGATCTGTCGTTATTCGTGACAAAGTCGCCTTGATTATGTGTTATGTGTGTCACACAGAGTTATGTTAAGCTATAGTATCACAGGATGCACGATTTCATGCCTTCGTACATGCATACTGGTCGACAGTTCGGTTCATTGCATGAAACGCTTAGCCTGCATTGAAAGATTGCAGTGAACCGACATGCATACTGGAAGACATGGAATCGTATGTACATCGTGTGATTCCTAATCTTATTCTCCGAATTTACGGAAATATAGAAATGTTTTAATTAAAACAAAAATTTACTGAAAAAAAAAGGAAGGGAAAACGAAAACATCAAACGTCATTCAAAACAATGTTGAGCATTGATCGAAATTAAAATGTTTACTTTGACTAAAATAATAGGCGAATCAATAATCGAAATTAATCAATCGTCATATATATAATCATGTGTATGAGAAATTTAATTTAATTAAATTAAATTTAATTTATTGATAATTTCAGTAATCAAAATGAAATTATTTGTGGTATATAACGGTTCATTAATTTTGATTGTTGATTTGTCAATTGATCTAGTCAGACAATTTTAATACTCAATATCGATTCGAAATGACACGAGTGAATGTTTAATTCAAACTCAGAGTAGATTTTTAATCCATATAAGTAAATGCTTCGATCAATTAGAGTGAATTCGTACTAGTGACAGTAAAATACATCCACTTTTCAATCTCGATTATTCACTCGACAATTCAGAATGGAAAAACTTCACTCTGCAATCTCTGAACAAAAATATTCAGCAGTGAGTTTCTTGTGAAAAATCATTATCATTCGAATGACTCATTCTGCTTTTCAAGTAAAATAAAAAAAATTTTTTTTTGAAAATAGAATGTCGGTTCAATCTACAGTCGAAAATAGAAAGCTTGATTGAATATCTTTGAAGCAGCTTAAACGCAATTTCAAATTCATCCTGAATTAGATAACGATCAGGAGATACATAAATAAGTGCTACGGAATGTTGAAAACTTCATTGTGAACGCCGACAGACCGCTCAGTACACGCGTTCGCGTTTTGTTTGTAACGAACGAAATAGAACTCGCCTGTTTGTCGATTCGCGTTTACGAGCCGCGCGCGAACGTCGTCTCAGAGGCAAATGCGTCTTCTTCTTCCGAGCGTTTGTTAGCATAGCCAGTGTTTCAACATCTGTTTGCATACTGGCGCGCGCTGACGCAAGTAAAGCAATAACGTACCAACGTCAATAGCCACTTAATAAATTGATTCTTAACGGATAGTCCATTGTGCGCGTCTCGCTCCCGTCGTCGACCAAGTCGGCGGACAATGGCGGGAAGACTCACCTAGCAGATGAACGTGTCTCCGCTGAATGTAAAACGCGATTTTCACTTTGCTCTCAATACACCGGCGCTCACGCGCACGTCAGTCGTGTGACGGCGTGTGAATAGCGTTAAAAGACACGAGTTTGCGATTAAAGTATACGCGTTCCGTTGAAAAACACGACGACTCGACGTAAGAGCGATCTCGCCTCCTCGATCGGAAAAGTGAGTCGTGGCGCGGTCGAAGTCGCTGGAAAAATGAATGAAGCTAAAACTCAATATTACCGACATTGCCTACCTCGCGCGTGTGTCGCTTTAATTCACAAAGTCTTCGATCGAGTCGTCCACGTAACGCCGTGGAATCGCGTGGTTTTTTCGTGTCACAGTCAGAAGGGAGGGCAGACTCGTGGAGCGAGTGACTAGCTTCGCTCGTCGAAGCTCGAGCTTACGTAACCGAGCGTGCTTTCAATCCCGAAACCCTAACTTATGCTTCTAGAATTATTTGTTTGCGATTTACAGACGGCCATAAGCTACATGGCTGGGAACGGCGCGTCGGCGATGTTGGAGCTGGCGCTCTCTTTCGAAGGCGTGGACCCGAATCTACCCGACAACGAGGGTAACACGCCGCTCCATTTCGCCGCCCAGGCCGGTGAGTGATTACGTTAGAGCAACATATGGAGTAGAGAGAGCCGCATGGCGAACCGACGTGCCGTCGGCGAGACGCGCACGCTGTGCGACGATACGCATAATATCGCGAACATACTACCAACCACGCATTGAGAATTGATCCGCTCGAGGCCGCAATTGCATTTCTGGAACATTTGGCGCAATCGCGATTTTATCGTTATCGCCGGAAGCACGCATACAAACGGTAGAATCTAGAACATCCCGAGTCGAAATTTTGATTCCACATTAACCCTACAAATTTCATCGAATTTCAAGGGTCAATGGAGAATTACATGCGAGATGTAATGTTGTCTTACCTGTGTGAATGCTGTGAATGATGGCTCACAGCTGAGGCTCGTTGAAAGAACTTTTCTCAGAATTATACTTAATATTCGACTTTCTAATATTTATTTTATATTTTCCCTATATTTTGCCTGCATTTCATTTTTGTTCTTAATTTCAATTCATAAGGTATTCATTATAGGAGATTTATTCAGTTGTAAATGAAGAAGGTGTATGCGAGACAAATAGCAAATTGAAAATAACAAAATAGCAAACAATAATTAACGAGTAAGTAGGTAAAATAAACAACACATTTTTATTTCCATAAACTTTCTTTTTTCTCTTGGGCGTTGGGCGTTTGGTCTCTTGGGAAGTCTCTTGATGACATATATAGCTCTTAAAAGAGCTGATAAAAAAGCTATAAAGCCAAACAAAAGTTATCTGTCCAATAATGCTATGTTTACCAATAGGGATTTAAATTTGGATATCGTAGAATAACAAGACATAAATGTAAATAAAAAGAAGACGTTGGTAGATGCCAACATCGAACTCGAAACTCAAAAAGCATTATTAGACGTAAAAATCAACAGTTGAGAGATTAACATTAGATTTTAAGACCGGCATTTACAGTTGTAAATTAATTGCCATCCTTGATTTAAAATGTAATTGATTACAACTTCGTGGACCATTATTCGGTGGCTTGATTCAACATTTATTGTTGTGTGAAATAAGTACAGATACATATTAATTAATAATTTAATATTTATATCAAGTTACTTATTAATTTAAAGCCATTGAAGCAACAATTGAAAATTCTCGTTATCAGTAGTGAAAAAGTTAAACGATGACGCACTACAAATGCCGGCCTAAATTTCGACTCGGGTTATTTTTCGATAAGTTTGTCAAACGTTCGAAAAATCGGAAACTTTCTGCATATTAAGCGATTTGACATACCTGAAAATGATGTGTCACTGGCTGTATCCCTCCTTCGTCCTGGATTCCCAGTTGCAGTTCAGCATCTTGGCTCCCAGTTGCTTCCGGATACACCATCGTGGCACTGGCACTCACGTAAATACGATTCGATTGAAGAAACACGTATTAAAGAACGCGCGACGCCGACGAGAGACCGATAAAATATTTTAAAGTCCCATTAAAACGATGACCAACGCGCCGATTCACGTACGCGGCGCCGCGTGTGTGTACGTCGCTCGTCGGCTCGAGACACAATGACTCGATCACCGAAGAGTACATGACGATGCGAGAGTATGTGAACAATCGACAAAAACAGATAAACACAAGCCTCATCTACCATCCAACCGTCAATCAATGAGGCGTACACAACCTCAGTGATCGAAAGATCATAACAATAGACGCTCCCGAAACATCGCTCGAGTCTCGTCGCGAATTCGACAACGTCATCTCTTTCTTCGCCTCTGTTTAAAGAACTATTATTTGTACTGTATCCAAATTTAAATTTCTATCAGTGCACAATATTATTGCTGCGCGCATGCTATCTTTGCTTTTACAACTGTTTCCTTTTCGCTCTTTCGGAGTTTTCGGAATCACATCGGAATTTCCAATACCAGTAAAAATTACAATAAACTTATTATGAGGTAGGAAAGTTCTTCGTCTTATTTACCCAATATAATCTTGTTATTGTATTATTCAACTAATTATTCAATTTTATTTTTCGTACATATTCTATTTGCTGAGCATTGAATAATTTACATGATTAATATATCACTTATAAAAATCGAATAATTCTTAAACAAGTCCTTTAAGCCTCAACATGAAGAAAATATGAAGATGACTATTTGTAGCATTAAATGTAGATATTATAATGTTGTGTTTTGAGATTTTCTATCAGTTCTCCAAGTTTGACGAAATTTTCAAGATTAATGTGCGGCCAAAATTTCGACTTGGATGCTGTACATCACTTCGTGGAATCGTTGAATCATACATAAATTTATAGATCTAAGATAAATCATCTAATTTAGTACGTTAAGTCTGTTTTATAGATCACTTATGATTATGACTTATTATAATTCACAACGCAGAACGCGCGACGAAACTTTGCCTATCTGCAAAAAAATGGTTATAACTTTGGAATTACGTCTATAACCGTATGCAATATATATGCATGCGTGCAAAATATTCTCTATAGTACACGGGACATAAAATGCTGCGGATAAAATTCTATTTTGATCTGAATCGTGGATCGCCCTAGGCGGGTTTTGGACGACTCGCGTTTCGAACTTAAACTCGAGATGTTGCGGTGTGTAATCAATAGAAAAGTACCTAGCACGTTCCAAAAATGAACCTGGTGAAAAACACGGCATGAGCGGGGGTGGTCGCTCGCGCTACAGGAAAAGTGGCGAGAATAAGTATTGCATCAATCGGTGTTCTCTCGAGCGGAGCGATGAGTGGGAGTCGGCCGTCTAGAGGTGACGCGCCAGTTTTCGCGGGAATCTTTTATGTTCGTACAGCCGATCGGTTTAGAGCATAATTCAGCTTCGTGTTTACCTCTGCTTCTTTTCCGCCGCGTGGTCATAATACCGTCCGTGGTAGACGGCCTCACGTGGCGGCGAACGGCTCTTCCAATATAATACAAATATATCCCTCGCGCGATTCAACTCATAGCCGTAAAAATACAACAGTACTAAGGATACTTATTTAAGCTAAATTCGACGTGGAGTTTGATATATTTACGATGAGGTGGCAAAATAACGAACGGTGTTAAAGTCACGCTGTCGCATCTTCCTTTCATGTTTTGTAACATCTAATATACTTCTCTTCCTTGATACGTTTATTTAAGTACTTTTATTCTTTTTTTATAACAAAATAAAATCTGAAGTATCATAGTTTAAAGGATTCGCGAAAAAACAACGTCTTATATAAAAGAGTGAGAAAGAAAAAGACGTCAAACTTCTGCCCTTCGGAGATTTCGATTCTCTGAAGCCGGCGAATCGTACCGCGATATTTTTACGCGCGCGGAAATAACGAACGCGCTCGCGCGGATCGGCGATAGGCGCCCGTTAGAAAATGCCGGGAACGCGATTCCGAGCCTAATGCCAAATCTATCCGCGGGCTTTCGCGCCGACGAGGTTTCCATCGCGTCACAGGCGCCGAAAATAGCGAGCGTTGGGAAGCACTTTGCGCGCAGCAGCTACGCGATATGATGACGTCCGCCGAAAAGTGTTCCTCGTGCCAAAACGCGGCGTGGATTATGAAACAAATACGCGGCGTGTATGACGATGTCAGTTCATATGTTCTCCCTTGCGAACAGGGCAGACCGAGTGCCTCAACATCCTCCTGCAAAGGTGTCCGGACATCGAGGTGGACGCTAGGAACACCTTGGGCTTCACGCCCCTCATGAAGGCCGCCCTTCAAGGCAGAACCAAATGCGCGAAGATTCTCTTGTTCGCCGGTGAGTTTAGACGATCTATTCGGAGATCAACACGAACAAAGATAAATCGCGAGTTAATTTTCGCATTCAGTCCTAAATACAGTCACAATTAGTGCGCGGTACTATTGATATTATCAATGTTATTTGCCAATATCAATAAATACCAATATCAAATTGATAATAGTCAATTTTCAGTAGTATTTATTGATGTTGACGTCGGCTCCAATTTTTTAACAAGAATTACCCGTATGAAAATAATATTAATAGTTTTGTAAAATTTCAATGTCACTCCACGCAGTTCCAATTCGTCAGGAACACGTCAGGAAATCCAATTGAAACGTCACATATTGCGTGTAACAATTAGTTGCCGACACTGGCGTGTCTCTCGGGATTCGTTCCTCGCGTCGTAAACGTTGCACCAATTCCCCAGGTGCGAATCCTACATTACGTGATCACGGTAGAGGCTTGCGGGCTGAGCAGTGGGCGAGGTTTTGCGGCAGGTACGTGTGCGCCGAGGTGATCGAGAGATTCGCGAGACATCGTCTTTTGGAGCGGACGACGTCCTGCCGATGGGGCAGCGAGCCTGAACTGGCCGCGAAAGTGTTGCAGGGCAAGGTATGTCGCGGTAAATCAATTAATTAACATTAACCCTCGTATACGAGCGGAGGACATCAGATTCTACGTAAACTGCACAGGTGACGCCGCTACCCACGAATCCCTTGCCGCCACCGTCGACGGGGCTGAAGTCAAAGATACGAAAGGTCTTCCGCACCACTTCCGGCCCCGATCGAACCTTCTCCCTAGTGTCGCAACTCACTAGCGCGGCTCTGTGCGCAAGTAGCCCGGCTTTGCCGAAACCCGGTGACGTGCCACCCGTGGTGAAGAGCCTTCTACGACCGTTGAGTGTGCCTCAATTAAGGTATTTCGTTAAAAACTATTCCTCTATTTTTTATGACCAATAAGTCATCCTGACAATTGATTTTATTACATAGTCATTCTCCCCAGTCTCAATTAAAAGCGAATTTAACCATTTGCCAAAAAATCGGGGAAAAGATCAATATTCGAAAAGAATACAATTTTTACGATACATTCGAAATTTATAAAGAGTGCATAGCATAAAAATATAAATTTTCAGGTTCTCTTAATGAATAATATATATCAAATGATAATTATTAAACCGTAATTATTAAAGATTATTAATCTAAAGATCTAAAGATCTAATTAATTTTTAACTATTACGATCACATAGACATTTCTTTCTCTATTTTTTTTTCAGGGTGACGTTGGTTTCACCGCAGGACTTCCTAGAGAAAACCTCGGAGAAGTACGGGATGACTTTCACGGACAAGATAGAAAGCGCGATGGTGAAGCCGCCGCGTTCGAAGAAGAAGAGCAAGTAGTGGAACGCGCGAAGCTCCCGCGGCCGCGGCAGTCGTTGTGAGCAGCCGCGTTTGTAATCCGCTTTCGCTTCGCGTTGAACAGTTTTGCGAAGGGAGAGATTGCGCAAGTCGCGCTGCTTGACGTAAGGCAGCGAAGCCAGAGAGTATTTGTGATCTATTTGAGATACGTTTACGTGTTGTCCCATATTCCATTGTTGCCTGCAAAACCGATCTGCGATCCTCCTTCTCGCCGACCTCCACCGCGTGGTTCTTCAAGTCACGTCATAGCCTTTCCGCTTTCTCTCTCTCTCTCTCTCTCTCTGTCTCTCTCTGTCTCTCTCTCTCTCTC